GATGGCTTGAACTAGCCCCTCTCTTTATGCGCTGAACTATGTCAATGGCGCCGTATAACTCATGTAGCTCATCCTTCAATCGTCGAAACAGCCTACAACATATAGCCGGAAGTGAACGATTAGGCAGTTGTAGCGCTTTGTTTTAATTCGTCGAAAGAGGACGTTACCTTTCAAGAGGATGAGATCATGTTTAGAAGTTGATGAAAGTGATCTAAATTTTTTACTGTCAATGAAAAAATAGTACTTAGACTTTATATACTCGTACACATATAATCAAATTCTTTACTTCATACCTTCTCTTGGATTTACCATGATAAAGTGTTGTTTATTAAATGAAAAATAAAAAAATTAACATAGGGTCAAGCAAAAGAAAAAAAGGAGTTATTTCTCGAGTAATTCTATGCTACTATTGTTATATTACTGCAGATTTTAATCTAGAATTCAGCGCCTTAGGTGCCATGCTGAAAATTTAACTTTTTTCCGTTATTCCCTGTTGTTGTTGTTGTAACCGTAAAATTATTCCCCAAAGTACTTTTTGGGGAATATTGCGGGAGTGACAGTCTTTGGCCGGATAAAAATCCGTGTCGTTCCGGTATAAAGACCCGATTGTCGTGGGAACTATTGGATTTTAGTCGCCTCTTACGACAGGCTTGCCTTACCGCGGGTAAATTCTTGAGCCCCTAACCCGCAGGGGTTTCCGTGATCTTTCTTCCGTGATCGCTCATTGGTGTTGGTGTAATAAATATGAATAATTTTGTTATAATTTTAGAATTCATGTGCATTACCTGATTCTATTGATTAAGAAAAACATTGATACTATTCATGATTTTATTCAAATTATGTTACATACATACATACATACATTCAAATAATATTAAGTACAGGAAATATACATATATAGCATACATACAATTTGTATATACATATGTACGCATAAGATGATGTAATATGTATTATATAAAATATACATATATACATACATCTTAGTTATGACTAGTCTCTTTGGCATTGGCACGCTTAGAAATATAGAGCTACGAAATATATCTGAGTATGTATGTTTTCTAATTTTTTTTGAAGAACTATAAGTTAATTATTAATACATTTTTAAATTTTCATATACTTATATATGTATGTGTGTTCATTTAAATTCGGGCCTTACAGATTTTTTTTTTTATCATTTAGATACTTAATACTCAGGCTTTAGAATAAAATAAGTTTGCGGGAGTGCTAACATTAAGTTTATAGAAAAAGAAAAAAAATCCACAATCGCCGAATGGTCAACATAGTATGTCATAATTTGGGAAATAGGAAATCAACTTTTCTAAACGCAGTTGCCCCTCGGCATGAAATAAAAGCCGCTCATAAAAATCTTTCGGCCATTCGTAGGCGGCTTAAAACAAACTGTTGGTCTTTCCTTCCATATTTTTGAAAACAATTGAGAAAGAACCCGACAGAAATCACTTCGGCGGTGTATGAATAACTTTTTAGAGACCTCTCGTTGCTGATAATACCAATTACGGAAGTCATTATTTTATTAGGTTTATTAATATGGAACAAGCAGCAAAACTATGTCAACGGAAACTGGAAATTCTCTCAATATCGTGACTAAACTCCTTGTTAAGAAAAGAAGTACGTCAAAAAAAAGCTTTTAAAAAATGACATCGGTTTTTCAGGACTCTGCCCCTTCATATGCGAAGGAGAAAAAATGGGTTGGGCTGTTGCAACAAGGAAGAGAGACCTGTCAAAATAACCATCCGAAAAATTAGTGCGCGTTGGGCACCACGAAAGCTCGTCAAGCAGCGACGATTGCAGCGCTGTAAAGTTTTTTTTGAGTTGTGCCAACTTAATTTGGATGAAATTTGCGCCTGCCTTGTAAACTTGGATTCGTCAATATGAGTAGCGAGGTAATATTATTGATTGATTACTAGTCAAATGGAACTACAATGAACGACCAGTATTACGCTAATTTTTTGATTCAGGCACATGAGGCAGTCGTACAGAAGAGACGAGGCATGTTAGAGTGCGGAGTGCTGTTTTTTCAAGACAACGCACACGTTTACGCCGCTCGGGTTGCGAGGCATGTCTTAACAGTTGCTGGATTTACAAAAATTGGCCATTCACTTTACAGTCCGGACCTGGCTCCTAGTGATTGTTCCGCTTTTCTAATTTTATATGTTTAAAATGGGAAAAGTGGATTTCACTTCAAGGAGACTTTATTAAAAAATAAAAAAAAACATAAAACAATACATTTGTTTCATTAAGTAGGTTGCGAAAAAGTCAGCCGCCCCTTTTGTATATACACATATGCGATTGAAATATTCATATAGAGCCTTGTTAGCCACTCGACAACTGTATTCAGTACCATTGTAAGATATTCCAAAACATTTTCGACAATAAAATGTTTGAAAATATTTCTCAACTTAACACTCAGGATTTCGCGGGATAAGGCTACGCGTGGCAGAATCTTGTGAAAAAAATACTCTCGCCAAAGATCAGTAGACAAGTTAACATTTACAAGAACAAAGTATAATTACGGAAAGCTTCAGTTATTAAAACTCGAATTTCTATAAGGATTGTCCAATTTGAGATATTTTTCCAATATGAGATATTTTAGTAAAAAATTGTTCAAATATTAAGCTTCTGCTTGACCGTCCCAATAAGGAAGGCAGCTGTAAAATCAATGGCTACAACCACTTTAATAAGGAAATTATTTAGATTTATTGTTGCCAGCCAAGCGGCAGCTAAGACCCTTAAATATGAAAAAAAAACTCTAAATATCGGAAAATATGTGCGGAGGCAATTAACAGAATTTTACGGGAAAACCTCTTGGATACCAGGTAGCAAGGATTTAGTGAGGAAATAAGATAGCTAGTGCCAGCCAAGTCAAGCCTACCCGAAATAACTAGAGAGTCAATACATTACAACTTTTCACTAACAGGCCTATTCTGTCTAGGTAACAAAATTTACCAAGTTATTAAAATTTACCATTCAGTAAATTTTGTTACCATTTCGTATTCTGAGCTCACTGTTACCCTGTAAATTTTGTTACCATTTCGTATTCTGAGCTCACTGTTACCCTGTAAATTTTGTTACCAGCGAAAATGGAGGTAACAAAAATAACTGCTGTTTGATTTTGTGTTGTAAGTTTGAGAAAAAATAAAAAACCAAAATGGGTAGGCATATTTTAGGCCTGGAATTTATTGGAGATGAAGAAAAAAGTGCAAAAACCCGTGTTTTAAGAAGATTTCGAAACTGGAAAATAGCCCTTTAATTTGTAAGATAACGTTTTCATTCAGCTTTTTTTGTTGTCCAGGCATATTTTCCATAATTAGGTTGAAATATTTATGATTTAATAAACAAATTATTAAAACTTTTTTATTTTTTGACCACCGTCTTCCATTTTGATGTGAATATTTTTCTTTTTACTTTATAAACTGGCAAATGTAATTTGCGATGGACGAAAAAAGCAGTGCTGCCAAATTTTTTTCAAACATTTTAACCAGTTCGCCAGAATACCAAATTCAATTTCGGGTGTTAAAGAAAAGTAACAAAATTTACTTTACCGGTAACAGTGAGAATAGGCCTGTAAAAGGAATAATTCAAGAGAATTTAACGCTTGACCAATTTTATAAATCAGTTGAAGTTTATTTATATATTGCAAGGCAAACAAATACAACAACTACCGTGCTATTTTTTTTTGTGTGGAAATCATGGAATATTAAATAGCTTTCAAAATTTTCAAGCTTACAAATAAAAAATCAAGCAAACAAAACATAAATTGCTAAAAAAGTTTTGATAATCACTACATTGAATGAAAGAAAAAAAATTAATTCACTTCGCGACTTCACCTTGAATTTTGTTCGCATAATTTTTTGTCAGAGAAATCAATTAAGGAAGTTTTTCCTAGAATATTTTTTTTTATTAATTATTGCACATTTAAGTTAATGATTTTGTTGCGACTTAACGCATTTTCTATTTTGGCAGAGATGAAAACAACTTTTTACATATATCTGATTAAAATATTTAGAGTTAATGATCACAACATATATTTTAAGAAATACTTACAGATTATAAAATAAATAATTTTAATAATTAATTTTAATAAATTTATTCAACGGCAAGTTGAAGAATATTTTTTATTACAAATACCTGACCACTAAGCCTGATTTAAATTATTATAAAAAGGATACTTTAAACTATAAATAAAAACATATATTATAATTATATAATAATTTTTATAGTTGATTTGCATGAATAAGATTTTTTGTTTTATAATTATTTTTTTTTTTAGAGTTCATAATATGTTTTAAGCCATGGATCTGTGAGTGTATATGTGCCTAATCAAGGGTGTTTTTAAAATTGATTTCGTGCAAGTGACAGCCGTAGTTGGTTCGAATAAATTCCAGCCGAGAGGCCCAATTTTCGACCGCTTTTTCCACCAATTGCAGGCATATGTCAGCAATAACGCATCGAATATTCTCTTACAAGGCGTTATCTAGGCAAGCAACTTTACATAACCTCACAAAAATGTCAGAATGGATTGTGGATTTTCATTCCTCAAAAATGAGACACTTATAATAACGCACCAATTTAAGTGGAAGTGAGCTTATTTTTTGTCAAAATTGTGGCAGTGGCCTTCTCGTTGGGGCCCATTCACCGTACGCGCGACAAGTTTGATGGCCGTTCGGCTTTAATTCTTGCACAAGTTGGATTTTGTAAGCCCGGTGTAAGTCTACTGAATAAAAATAAAGGGTATTAACTTCCAAAAAGTTTTGAAAACCACATGCCAAAAAACACCCTTTACAAACTTCACATATGTATTATACATACGCATGTATGCAATGCTTGACTCCATGTCTATGTATTATTATGCAAAATATAGTTTTTAAAACATAAAAAAAAAAAATGTGAAAATTTCTTATTAACTTATTATCGCAATAAAGGTATTTGTTTTTAACTTTACATACACGTAATAAATATATTTATAAACAAATCTTTGGTATTTACAATTTCATACGCTTTAAGCTTTGAAGTAAGTCAACAGATGTATATACTAGATACCCGTATGTGCCGCTCACCATGGCCTCCACATATTTTCGTCCTGCGCTTGCTGCTCCTGTCGAGCTAGAGCGTCATTTGGCCGCAATAAGTTCAATTGATGCTGAGCTGCTGCCGCTGCTGCTGCCGCAGCTGCTAGATTTGCTGATAGCTGATTGTTAGCTATACTTAATTGTGCTGCCTCTACGGTCGTTGCTGCTACACCATCCAAGCGGGAAGCGTGATGTTGTTGTTGTTGCGCGTTTTTTTGCGAATCGACGGACATCATGGAGCTCATTGAAGTTGAAGCGACGGAAGTAGCGTTTGAAAGTACAGAGGCAGGCCGTTCGATATTAAGATTTCCACCTACAGACGCTGTTGTGCTTGCTATTGCTATACCATTTTCTTTCGCTGCCAATGTAGTGGCTGCATAAGCGGCAGCCGCTTGAGCGGCTTCCAATGCACCGGGCAGTGCGCCGTATGTATTTAGTTTACCGGCAATTTGAGCCGGTAAAGGAGGCACGTGATTCATTTCGATTAGACGCTCAAAATCCGTGCGTGTAGTAATTGCATCCATGACAGGATGCGTATTTAAGCCTAATGCTGCCGCTAATTGAACATAGTGTGGAGGAAGCACAAGGATCCCAGCAGGGTCATTTACTTTAAGATGTTTATATGTGTCCAACACATTCGAGCACATCTGCGAGATTGAAAGAAAATCATTTTTTTTTTGATTAATGTTTAGATATTTTGTAGATGCGTTCTCACTTTACTGCGCTCTTCAAAACTCTGCACCGCATTAATATCCATGGTATTTTGTAATTCGTTAATAGCAGCCATCGGCCTCATGTTTCCCTCACTCCTACTTGAACCAGTGCTGCCTTGTACTCCATCGGGATTATTATTCTCGTCCTATGTAAAATATATGGTTACAGAATGCTTTACTCAAAGCTTATCATAGTTGTGTGAACTCACCTGTGAGCTAAGGCGCTCTGAGCAAGGCGAATTTGTGGAATGTGCCACTGGTGTTCCGGCCGGACTAACAAATGTTGCTTTGGACACTAAAACATTAGAGGCAGCTTTACTGAAATCCAATGGATTAGAGTCCTGACTGCTGTAATCCAGGGAATTGTCGTCCGGTTGCCTGAAAACAAGTAAATACATCATTACTTTGTTTAATTAAAAAATTCATAACAACGCCTTATTGGCATTTAGAGTTAATGCACTGTGCTTCTAAAGTCTATAACGACTTGTTACTGTCGTGCGGGGACATATTACTTACAGGAATATGTTAAATATGTAAAATTTGGATAAGTAGTTAAATCTACTATAGAATCCAGACCTTAATTGTAATAGTGAGCTCCTCGGCTGGTATGCGTGGACGCGGTTGTCATTCCCCACCAAGGGGCGACCGGAAGCTGACAAACTTTTTCTATTTATCTAAAAGGCGATTGCGGTAGCCGAGTGGTTAGTATTACGTATTGCCATTAGGAAGGTCAGGGTTCAACGACCAACATCCAAAAGTTATAGAAACTTAATTTAAATATAAAAAAATTAGATAAATTTTCTAATAGCGGTCGCTCTCGGCATTTGTTGGAAAAGCATCAAGACGAAAAACCGCAAGTTGGAGGAGTTTGTTCGAAAATCGCTCCAGCAGTTACAAAGCTCCAATTACAGTCGAAACTCTCTATAACGAACTCCTATATAACGAAGTTCTCTTTACTCCCCATATAACGAGTTTCCCAACAAGCGAATATTTCCTTATAACGAAGCTTTTTTGAGAGCGTAACTTCAACTTAACGAATATATGCAAATAATTTAATACGAAAGCATGGATGACAAGCCAGATTTACTTGAAGTGGCTCTTGAAATTGGGTCGAAAGTTTGCTTCTCAGCAAAGAAATATTTTGCTTTTCGTTGACAACACTTCAGGGATGTATAGGACCAGCTGCCACTTCGCCTATTTAGAGTCTTCATTTAAAACCGTTGCTAATACTAACTTTTGAAGACTACTTCACTGTTGACTGTGATGTCATTACCACAGACAACCCTTCCGACGAAGAAAGAACGTTTGGGAGCGCCAGCTATCTCAGGTAAAGATACAATAAAAAAGAAAATCTACTACATCTTCGAATAATTTTCTTACTAATAATTTTCAGATATACATTATTATTTCCCTTTTAAAATATTCAGATGAATACTAAGAACTATCTGCCGATATTGTGAAACCGTTACCCACATATGGACAACTTTCTTCAACAGTTGCACATTTCCGTACCTATTTATTGTATAATAATGTATATAAAATGAAAACCTATGTACCAAATATTTCTTAACTTCTCTAAATGAATTAGAAAATTATATTGAAGAAGAAAAGTGAAAAAATGTACTTCAAACCAAAATAACTGACTTCTACAAATAAAAAATGTTAAAAGGAGCAACATTTTTTTCTTTTCCATTTAACGAATTTTCTGAAGGTCGATACACCTCCATAAAATTCCAGCTAATGAAACGAAAGTATACAAACTGTACGAGTGATACTTACGTCTTCTTTGGTGCGGTGTTGATATCATAACAACTACTGGATGGACTGTCGGCATATGTTGCTGTCGAATGGGGGCATATTTCAATATCGATTTCAGCTATACATTGATCCAAGTGTCTTAGAAGACGTGCTTTAGACCCCGGTTCCGACAGTGATGGCATGTTTCCAAGAGGTGGAGGTTCAGGTGTAGCTAGATAACGTGCAACTTCCCTTGCACAATCCGTGTACCCAGCTCTATACTTATTTATAGCTGTTAAAAATAATACGAGCAAATGTGTTATACATATATATATGTGGATATTACAAGGTCACAGATATTACTTGGATCATCGAGATTTCTGTGCCGTTGAAAGTGACGCACAGTCAACTCGAGTATGTCGGCTTTTTCCAATTTTGTTTGTTTTGTTTGTCCATCAGTGGTTTTAGACTGATTCTTCGTCGACTCCAAAATAAGAGCCTTCAGTATGGCCAAGCTTTGATTAATACGTGCCCGTCGTCGTTTTTCCATAAGTGGCTTATTTGTTCGCTTCGTGATATCCTGAGATGATGTTACATTTTGAGTTGATGTGACTAGACCTATTGATTTTCCTGCTCCTGTTGATGCTGACGCAGAGAATCCTGTTCCTAAGATTAAATGAAAACATAAAGGCAATATTGTTTAGATTTGCACAATCGAAAAAGATGCTAAAAATTAATTTTTATTATCTGCAATGAAGCTAAAACAGATCGTGCTTTCACATGGAAACGCTTGACGGTCGCCAACTCCTTTAAGTGAACCTAACCCTTTTAAGGGGCAGCTAGTAAGAGCATGAATCGAATGTCTTATCTCACACCAAGGTTAGGCCGGCTGATAGACCCGTTGAACCTTTGTAAATAGTACCAGTTGGGCCGTTCGTTTCATTGCGATCTGAATAGTCATCATAAACGCCTTTCAACAAGTTCAAGAAAGTGTTAATATCGAGCCCTAGGTTTCCAGCCATTAGTGGGCGGAAATTGTGCACTGCGTTGGATGGAAAACACTTAAATGTCATGAGACATGCAACCGGCGTGTAATGGTAGCTACAGTTCAACGGCTGAACAACTTTCCTGCTCTAGTAATCGACGATGTGCTTTTGGTAATACGCTACCAACACTTCAACAGCTCATCTCTAAGAAGTCCGCATTACTCAGCTTGGGTTACTACAGATTGCAAAAATAAGGAGCATGTTTCGGCCGACTATATTCATTCAATATAAATACACCAAAAACATCACCGGTCGGGGATATAAAGAAATAAAGCTATTACGATCACTCTATTACCCCTTCAGCTCTATGCCGTGCTTAATCAGTAAAGAAGTTTGTGTGCTGTTTAAATACCGGAAGGAAACAAATTAAAACTGAACCCGTAAAAAATAAGAAATAAAAGGACATGTGCTGAGTTATATGTAAATATTGAAGATTGTATATCGTTATTTGGTACAAATACTACTCTGCGCAAACCAGGAGAAAAACCGGCCGAAATAAAAAATCATAACAATATAGGAATAGCCCATAGCTTCAATCAGCATGAATCAGAATTTACTGGTCTGGTCTGGATATACCTATGTTGACTGAATATTTAGAGCAAGCTTCTAATATTTATGATTTACAAGTAATCGCTTTTAGGCGGGTGATAAATTATTAGACCAGAGGGAACATATGTTAGCAGGCAAACATGAACTCCATTCTGTCGTTGACATTTGCTGCAGGATTTTTTATGATATCCTAAAGCTTTAGATTTGGCTGTAAAAAGACACACACCATAAACGAAAAGTATGAGATGGACAGAAAATTGCTTAAGCCACTGAAACCGAGTGAGTCACAGTGAATGAAAGATAGGCTGAGGACTTGAAGACCATATAAGTAATTCAAATCGTTGAAAATCTTGTTTTTTTTAATGCCGTCCTGAACCGACAGGGATTGTCAATACCTAATAAAGTATTTCTGACATGGAAATGAAATGTATAAATCCAAAATTCTGATTTTGTCGTTTTACTAATATTCGTATGCTAAAAATTTCAGAACATTCAAAATATTTCCAATAAATCAGGTATTGTAGAAGGCCAGGGTTCGAGTCCTGCTCCGCTCAACATTCAAAAGTTATAGAAAACTAGTTTAAATAACAAATTTAGTTAATATCGCTCCTCAGGAGGGAATTTCAAGCTCTACGAGTATATTTCTAACATGAAAGAAAATTCATCAGCCGTTCAGAAGAGGCTTAGAATAAAGTGTAGAACCTTAAACTCGTTGGAGAAACATGCAGACGCACGCCACAATAAATATAAAATATAATGATACATTTGATATCACGGGCAGATGTGCGTCATAAGTAAAATTAAAAAGCAAGAATATTTTGAATATACGAACAGAACAGAAAGCAAATGTGGTCAGAATGAACGCCTGCGATATGCTGCTGAAACGGAACGAACTCGACCCATTCTTGAAGCGGATGGTGACTGGCGACGAAAAATGGATCACATACGACAATATCAAGCGAAAAAGGTCGTGGTCGAAGGCCGGTGAATCGTCTCAAACAGTGGCCAAGCCGGGATTGATGGCCAGGAAGGTTTTGCTGTGTGTTTGGTGGGATTGGAAGGGAATCATCCACTATGAGCTGTTCCCATATAGCCAGACGCTTAATTCTACCATCTACTGCGAACAACTGGACCGCTTGAAGCAGGCGATCGACCAGAAGCGTCCAGAATTGGACAACAGGAAGGGTGTAGTGTTCCACCAGAACAACGCCAGACCACACACTTCGTTGATGACTCGTCAGAAGCTACGGGAGCTCGGATGGGAGGTTTTATCGCATCCATCATATAGCCCGGACGTAGCGCCAAGTGATTACCACCTGTTCCTGCCCATGGCGAATGCCCTTGGTGGTGTGAAGTTGAACTCAAAAGAGGCTTGTGAAAAGTGGCTGTCCAAATTCTTCGCAAATAAGGAGTGGGGCTTCTACGAGGAAGGTATTATGAAGTTGCCGTCTAGATGGAAACAGATCATCGAACAAAACGGCGCATATTTTAACTAGATCCGATCACCGTAACACTTTTTATAAAGCATTGAATGAAAGGGAGATATTTGACAACCTTATATTTCTCAATCAGCGCTTATAATTCCTTTCGAAATGTATTTTGAATAAAATATTTTAGTATTATATATACACAACTTCGAAAGCTTACAGATACTAGCACATATAGCCTTCCCAATTTGATCTTCATATGTTTTTTTTTGTCGAAAAGCTAAAGCTCTGTTAATTGAATAACAACGGCATTCAATTTACAGTTGCATTGCTTTGAATGCTTACTGGGAGTTACTACATTGAGTTATTTAGGCAATTAAAAAAAGAAAGTCTCATCATGTCTGACCTACTAAAAATTTTAGAAGAATGAACGAAAGAAAGGTTATGGGGACGATTTATAGCGAATAACTCAATCGCTCAGCTGTATAAGATACAAAGGGAGTACAGTTTTCTTCTTAGAATACGACTTATTTCAGTCTTTACTTTTTTAATCGCATTTCCAATGTGTCAAATATTCAGTACAAAGTTTTTGGCTTAGAGAGTGGTTATGTTTAAACTTGAATGAAATTCGGAAATATTAAAAACTTACTTCCAGAACGGTAAGTTTTCAACCTCGAATGCAAGAAAATTGTTAATTATTATGTCAACCGTTAACCTACGACAAGTAGAAAGGATTAATGACTTGAAACATGAATTGAAGCTGCCATTAACAGTAGAGATCCAAAGAGCCGAATACAAGTTGAAAATTTGGATCGACAGACATAAAAGAATTGGCTACTGCAAAATCTTTGAAATGTGTGCCCACCAATTGCTGTTGATATAGTCCAAGACATAGCGTGACTGTTGTTGAGACATGACATAACCGTCTTTCGGATTGATAAAATCACTTCAACTTTGAAAAATCAAATACAGTACCCGCCGAAGGAAACAGTGGAAAAAGTTGAACTTATACCTGAAATGTTTACGGTAAAAAATATTAAATAAAATATATTTATAATGAAAGGTAGTTTAAACTTAAGTTTCACTCTAATAAACTAAATTTTCTAAAAGCTCAGAAGACATAAAAGAATGTTGCAAAATTAGAAAGAACGCTTACTATTCAAATAGCATAATAAGCTCAAAGCAGATTTAGCTGGTCTTGAAGAATATGTAAAAGATTTTTTCAATATTCTATATATTATATGTTATGCATAATAAAATACTTTGTATTTGCCGTCGGAAAAAAATCTTTTGAAAAATCTACGTTTCAAAATCATCCAATATGTGGTTACGTGAATAAAGGAAGACCCTAACAGGCCTATTCTCACTGTTACTGGTAAAGTAAATTTTGTTACTTTTGTTTAACACCCGAAATTGAATTTGGTATTCTGGCGAACTAGTTACAATGTTTGAAAAAAATTTGGCAGCACTGTTTTTTTCGTCCATCGCAAATTACATTTGCCAGTTGATAAAGTAAATAGAAAAATATTCACATCGAAATGGAAGACGGTGCACAAAAAAATTAAGAAGTTTTATTAATTTGTTTATTAAATCATAAATATTTGAACCTAATTATGTAAAATATTCCTGGACAACAAAAAAGGCGGAATGAAAGGGTTATCTTACAATTTAAAGGGCTATTTTTTGTCTCGAAAACTTCTTAGCAGACGCCTTTTTGCACTTTTTTCTTCATCTTCAATGAATTCCTGGTTTTAAATATGCTTACTCTTTTTGGTTTTTTATTTTTTCTCAAATTTACAACACAAAATCTAACATCAGATATTTTTGTTACCTCCTATTTCGCTGGTCACAAAATTTATAGGGTAACAGTGAGCTCAGAATACGAAATGGTAACAAAATTTACTGAATGTTAAATTTTAATACCTAGGTAAATTTTATTACCACGACAGAATAGCATGTAAGTGTGGAATGCGATGTTCAAACTAAAAGATGACTTTTGAATTTTCGCGGGAAATTTCGATTATGGAAATTTATTTTTAAATGTTGGTACACATATGTTAACATTATCCGAATATGCGATTTGGATTAGTAGCTTGTGTTAACAGCTGTAGAGGCTAGTCACCTTTTGACGAATTTTAAATTAAAAAAAAAACATCGCTAAGGAGTTATCAAATGTCGCCAACTTGATTGTCGTTGTCGTTTTTTCGAAAGGGTCATTACTGGTAATGAAACATGGCTATATTGTCATGACGTTGGGACCTCCGAAAGGGTCATTACTGGCAATGAAACATGGCTATATTGTCATTACGTTGGGACCAAAGTCCAAAAGATCAAAAATAAGTGAACCAAAACAGATGAACAGATTTCGTATTGCCATATATTTAAGTATTTATACTCTCTCAAAATTTTACGCCTGTCCGATAATTGCTAGGGAAATATGTACATATATAAAATTGATTGTGTACATGTATATGTAAGATACTTCTCAAACTTTTAACACGTTAAAATTTATGCAATTGGCTTAGTTATTGAACAAAGGAAATAAATTTAAAACAGGTATTACTATTTTTTTTTGAAATTTGAAGCGAACATTTCGATCGAAAACGAAATTTTTTTTAAATGTCAGTGTTAAGTGTTTTTGGGTTTTTTTCGAGTTGAACACTTTATGCCAACAGGTCCATTGGGGCTACTATCTTCACTTTCTCAAATGTTCGCACCATTTCGTATATCTTATAAAAGCAACGATATTTTTACTGAAGCTTTTGAGTGAGACAGTCAAAGAAGTTTTTCCCGAGGAAGTTGTGTCGCGCAGCTGTCTCAGTCGGACAGTGACAGCTGCGGCAAAAACTATTAGAGTTTATATATTCTTTTTTCCGTGAAACCCCATTAAAGAGTGACCTATGATAATGTCAATGGATAACTGGTCTAGTTTCTTTTGTGTCGAGTTGCGGCCACAGCTGTCTGAACACATTGCACGTGCCAGTTTTAGCATACAATTTACCGCGGACTAAGGTAGACCTTCAACGTGTTTATGGGTAATAGGGGATAGAAGGCTTCCTTATTTCGCTAGTTTCAGTTTAAAATTTGTTGTTCCCTGATGCAGAATTTATCAGATGTTAAACTGTTAAGAATATATATACTTCACTTTGATCGTACAATACCATACCCTTGCCAAGAATTCACCTTTCTTTATTTCTGATATTTCAAATCTCAGGCATGAAAATTAACGGCGAAGGCACTTTTTGAAATAGACTCTATAAAAAAATCGACGAGTTCGTACTTTTTTAGCCACAACTGCGTGTAACTCTCTGATAGGTGGGAAGTAACTAGGAAAACTGCTTAATATAAACAAAAGAAAAATTAGACAACGTTTGGTTAGAGCTTTGTTATTTTTTGTTTAGACGTGGTTAGATCAACGAACATCTTAGAGTCTATATTTTAATTTACAGAACAATCTGTCAAGTTATGATCAGTGTTAAATTTAAAAATTATAAGCGATGTTCGGTGAGAAATATCAGTAAGAATTAGCCATTAACGAAATATCAAATTTACTCTCTCTCTCGGCGTAAATTTTACTGCTTTTAGTCTTATGTCTCACCGAGCGCGCTTTTTTAATTTTTTTGCTGCCCATCAGCTCACCGAACAGGACTATAATAGTAAAAGATGATTACCAGCTGACGTTTTATTTTTGGAATAATCCTTGTCGCGTTTTGCTGTCATATTGTCATGTTTGCCGAAAAGCTCCTCGAATCCATAATTAAACCAAGAATCGAATTGCTTTATAAGCGCGTAGGCAACACATTATTACTGCATTATTTAGGTTCCATTTAGTACACAAGACTTTTGTGGTTATTGAAGTCACTTTACCGACTTTAGTTTATACACGGAATTTCAACGATAATATTCTAAACGCGAATTCCAAGTTTGCGTATTTTGCAACAAAGTGGGCAGCATTCGCAAGTCAAGTATTAACTTGTAGAATATAATTTTTTTTCTCTCAATGGAATTCAGCACCATGCACCGGACATTCAGATCAGATATACGCGATAATTATGTCTGCTGCTTTTTAACAGTAAGCCTGCGATATATTGATGTAAAGTTGCTTCAAAAGCATTGCATTGTCATACGAATATTTTTCACTAAGCGGCGTCAACAACCACGAAAAATTTTCAAAGTTGAACGAAACGAAACAATAACGTATCGAAACGTCCACACGCCAAGACGTCGCGCGACGAACTAACAGAATTTAAATCAAAACTGAATCATTATCCTTGGTGCTTTTCTAAATATCCTGGCCGCACCGACGACTGCGGCGACGAAGTGTTATGTGCATACGTACATACATACATACATACGTAGAATAAAGCATATGCATATATGTACATGTGGGTCGAAGCGAATCACAACACTGGCGTGCTATGCCGCATGTCGCATACCAAGTCGACTCGAGTTCAGTTCAGTTGAGTTGAGTTGAGCTGAGCGCAGCAGATTGGAGTCAGCTAACCACCAGCAAAACAACATAAAGAAGAATAACAACAAATACAAGAACGGCGCGAGCAATACTCGTATATCGTAGCTGTAGCAACATGCGCCAACGCCAAGTAATAGTAACATTCACCAGTTTGTTGGTTGGTTGCTTGGTTGACTGGTTGTGGCAAGTTGTATGCACGCGGCTGTGCCGTTGGGTCTTTTGGGCGGCAACCGTTGGGACTTAAAGCCCGTGCAAAACCACCATGACTCAAACGACTACGACATAGACATACAACCTGACACCCGTAATGGTAGCATTGCTGGGGATAACGAGGGCAACAACAGTGAGAGAAGCGAAGATAACGTTGAATGTGACGAACAACGTCTGGTTCTAAAGTTGTAGTGAGACCACAAAGATTAGCTGCGTAGTTTGATGACCGTCTCGAATGGCGATATCTTCGTTCATACATATATACTTATATTTGTGTGTATATATGTGGGTGTATGTTCAGGTATGAATGTACATACATATATTTAAATGATTTTGAAAAATAACATTAGACCAACCAACTTATTGCATCAATCTTTAAAGCACTTAGCAGTTTTAATAGTTTAAAATTTTATAATGTACATATTTACATAGATACGTTACCGGAATAGTAGCGAATACCTAATGCGTAGAATCGCATCAATTGGTGCTAAACAAACCCAACGCCCTCACAAACAGCATCAGCCGGCGCATGTATGCTTATCAACTGACTTTAAACGCAAATAATACAATGTCTCTCATCTGTTGGGCAGTCATGTGGCATGACTAAAGCCTACTCTTAAATCCACCTATCCACACACATGCATACGCTAACTTCCATTCAAATTTATCGCAACGCAGAACGGCGTTTAGGAAAAAAAAAATAACAGCGTCAAAAATGTGTGCACAAACCCGAGCACATACTCGTATGAACACATAGTACCTTTTACAAATGCGGCTGAAGTTTCATCTTCGTCTACATTTCCCTCGTTTCCCGCCAACAACCAACGTCACCATAACCAAATTGCCGTTTACGTTATTTGCCGCCGTTGTTGCTGAGATCTTGGTGTCAGGGTGGAATTCCCTTGGCGCATGTACCCAAATGTATTTCTCTGCTTTCCCTTCAACGCCTGGCATTCTTTGCTTTCAGCCACTATCGTCGCGCCTACCAGTCGACCAACCGTATAACGCGTATATGTGTATACTTATGATTTCAAGCCGACCCAAACAAAAAGAAGTCACCGGACCAACCTGACCAAACCAAGCCGACGCAAATCAAAACGGAGCCGACAAAACCCATTCAACTGACCGTCTCACTTTCTCGATGTCTCACCAGCCGACTAGTCGAACAGCCCAACCCATATATGTACAGATCCATATAGTCTTGTTAACTACCCTTGCCTACGAATGCGTCCCCTTGATGTATGACGTGCGCGCCAATACATTCCAAAAAGACCAGGCTGCTTACCATCAACGCTGCCGTTGAGGCGACGGCAAACCAAAAGCCGGGTGTGACATGAAAAGACGGGTCGGTGAAAATTGTGAGTAACTGGCGCACACTGCCAGTGGCTACGACCTATACCGCAAACACACACATTTCCATTTGTAAATACATATTTATTGGTAGAGAGATACTACAGAGGCCAGACGACACGCCGTCCGCATTGAACACATACAATCTTTTATACTTGTACATAGTAATGTACTCACACACGAACATGCAATACACAAAACTCATCCATATGTATGTCTGTAGAGTCGAGTGCACAGACGGTGTCGCACGAGCCAAGTACCTCAACAATCCGCCATCAACTTGTTCGACTCCGTACGTTTGTACTCCCGTACCCATAATCACTACCCACGCTCAACCAAGTGGCAAACATAGTAGCGGGGTAACACAAACGTAGGCACATTGCATGCAGGTCTAACAGCAAAAACGGCAAACGGATGCGCAAGCTGACTGCTTGCCTGCCAAGTGCTGCTTAGTCGAGCTTACAATGGCATATAAACACAAGCACAAAAACTGTTCAAGTAACGTACAACTAAACTCACGTAAGGGCATTGTCGTGCGCACACACAAATTGTATATCCCTTGCCACAATCATAGCGTATAATTTAGAACCCGCGCGCACTTTGGCCTCCCCGGTGTTAACCTCTTTCCGTCGTTGCGCTCCTTGTTGTTCCGCCTTCGATTTACCGACTTGAACGACTTCACATCTGAAAGTGGCGTTCTGGGATGAAAACAGCAAACATAACACCATCCCCATAACCGCCACCAGCAATAATGCCAACAATGAAAGCAACAACAAAAATAAAGTCAGTGAAAACAGCAGCCAACAGCTCACTAGACTGCCATCCAAACCATCCAAGCATGCAGCCATCTAACCATTCAACCAACTGTGCACGTAGCCAGAAAGTAGGTAAGCAACAACCGCCGCAACACACCGACTCCGACCCTCGGTTGCGACTATGATGTTAAGCTTTAGCAAACGACTCGTCTCAACTCAACTTGACTACCATTTACCATGAGCCATGTGGCGCAATGTCAGGCATCGAGGCACACGCTACGATAACAACCAAAGTACCGCAACAAATAAAGCAAAAGTTTAGCACCGTTGCTGCTAACAGCTGCACCGTACGCACGGTCATATGGGAAGCCACACGAATTCTAACTGCATTATAGTTAGGAAAATTTAAAAACAACTGATTTAATACAAAATTATATGTCAGAATTGTTCAGAATTTATTTATTTCTCTTCTCTGTATGAATTTTCTATGATAAGGGGGAATTCTTTTCTTCTAAATTTTGCTACTTTTTCTTACTAGTATTCTAGATTAACGATATAATTTTAATAAACATATTTTGCTCATATTATTGTATTAATTTTTGTTTTGGAATTCTCAAAAAATAAAATGAAACACAAATGAAAGCATTTGCGATTTTCATAATTATGGCTCCAATAATAGTAAGGTTGTGACTGCAAGGGCGTCATGATGCGCCAGCTCTAATTAAATTCGAATGCATTTCGCAAATTATACAATACTTATTTTGGGTGAGAGACGTAGTCAGAATTGGGAAGAATCTCTCTGGGCAGTTTAGTACCGAAAAGTATTTGAGTCCAGTTAACTCTCTATTGTGTGATTTCTTTACCCTATTTATGACAATGCTAGCTTCGCTTGGTATATCCAACTAACGTCATGTTGCAAATAAAAGCAGCTTTTATGGTAAGCTAGAAAATAGTAAGAAAAATTATACATTAACGGGCCTATTCTGTCAGGGTAATTTTGTTACCGAGGTATTAAAATTTACCATTCAGTAAATTTTGTTACCATATCGTATTCTGAGCTCACTGTTACCCTGTAAATTTTGTTACCAGCGAAATAGGAGGTAACAAAAAAATCTACTGTTTGAGAAAAAATAAAAAACCAAAATGTTTAGGCATATTTTAGGCCTGGAATTCATTGAAGTTGAAGAAAAGTGCAAAAGCCGTATTTTAAGAAGTTTTCGAGACTGAAAAATAGCCCTTTAATTGTTAAGATAACGTTTTCATTCAGCATTTTTTGTTATCCAGGCATATTTTCCATAAATAGGTTCAAATATTTATGATTTAATACACAAATTAATAAAACTTTTTAATTTTTTTGTTCGCCGTCTCCCATTTCGATGTGAATATTTTTCTTTTTACTTTATCAACTGGCAAATGTAATTTGACATGGACGAAAAAAGCAGTGCTGCCCAACTTTTTTCAAACAATGTAACCAGTTCACCAGAATATCAAATTCAATTTCGGGTGTTAAAGAAAAGTAACAAAATTTACTTTACCGGTAACAGTGAGAATAGGCCTGTAAATATTAGATAATCACAAAATTTCAGTTTTATTTCATTCTATATTTATGCATGCCACATTACAAGACCGTTTGTCGACCAACATCCAACTCACTTTACTAAATGAACTGAAAATACCTAAATATCCATTGTAGCTATAATACTCGTATATGTAAAATAGCGAAAAAAGACTTCGCTTTGTGTGAAAAACAAAAAATTGCCAACCAACAAAAAAACTAAAAGAAATAAGTACATATCAGCAAAAAAATATAAAAGCAAACAGCAAAAAGTTGGAAACATTTGTAAGGGCAAAAAAAGTTATGCGACCGGAGGGAGGGCTGGCGACGGCTGTAGAAATAGTATGTGGCAAGGCAAGGAGAAAAAAATGAAATAAAGCTACAAAATCGAATAAAAGATCCCCACAGGAAAAACGTGGGGTGGTTGGTACACATTGCCGTAACGACTGGGCATTGAGTGCACCAAATGCTACCAGAGTGCCAGAGAGAAAAATGACTAAATCAAAGGAAGTGCGGTCGGAGTCCGGTATGCGACGAAGGGTGAAGAATGGGGTGTGAAAAAAAAAAAATTGTGAAATTTGTGTAGCTGACGTCTGTGCGTGGCATTTCAGTTATATATGCGAGTTATTTTATAGATGAGTGTGTGTACGTGTATATGTTTGACGAACAAGTGGGTGTTAGTTGCTGTGTGTATGCACTCGCCTGTTTGCTGGCAACATGCCTTCATGTGTTGACGTGTTTGTGCTTTCGAATGATTGTGTTTGTGTGTGCGTATATTTGCACACGTGGGCGAACTGCTGGCGCACTTCAATGCTAATGTTGTGTCGACTGTCGACTGCTGGCTGCCGACACTCAAGCCATAAGGCAACACCGC